CGTTCATCATGCGGCGGCTGTGCTGGAAGTTCACGGTGGAGAGATGGACATGGGAATCAATTGAACTTTCCAGCTCTCCAGTGGTGACAGACCTCCTGATTCTGCTGGTGGTGATGCTGATTTAACGTGACGTTGACTGATTGGCCACCTCCTAATAGGTGAGAAACTCGCTTGTTGGTGATGGTGTTGTTGCCTCCGTTGTAGTCTTTCTCCGTTGCAGCACCCTTCTCTCATTTTGTCTTCTGCCTGCTCGCTGCATCGTCTCCTCTGTCAGCTATCAGCATGGTTTAGAAAAAGAAAGGGGAGAACTGAACATGGAGTAAAACAAAAACGAACAAAAGAAATCGTGCCCTCTCGCGAAAAGAAGAAATTAGACATGGAGCTTGAATCAGTGTCTGAGACACGGTAAAACGCCTCACAATCACACTGTTTGACACGAACAAATTGAAAATTTATTTAATTTCAGAATAACACGAGTTGACAACACCGAAATATAGAAACAGCGGTAACACGTGTAGACAACGCTACAAGAACAAGCACAACAACAGCATAGCTACGTAGTCATGCCGAGTCAGAAGCAGACTACTCTTATTAGCCCTAATTAATGCACGGAAACGGAGCTATATTATGGGTGCATATCCGAAAACAGCGCCAAATATCTTGATTTCTTTCTCAGCCCGAATCTCGTAAGCATGCATTTTGGCGCCAGCGTCGTTTTTCTCCTTTAAAAACTGGACCTTGTCGCCAACTTTAAGGCTCTTGCTATGAACATAAGCGAGCCAACCCCTTGAAATAACTGGTTTTGGATGTCCATTCCTGCGAATTGAGCATCTGAAGGTCCAAACACGGCCACTTCCATCTACAGCTTGAAAATCTACAGCATGACCACCACCCTTAAAAGATGGAAGAGAGCTGAGAAACCCGGTCGGCACTGAGAGTCTCTTTTTAATATCAGTCTTCCTGAGTACCTTTGAGAATCTCGCCATTTATCAAGACCAAGTAACTGACAATAGTCGGAGAGGATTAAGATGTTGAGTGCTGTGTGCGTCGAGATTTATGAGCATCTGTTTATCATGCTGGCGATGGCGAACATCCGTAATTTGGTAAGATAAAAAGCAAGAGGCGTTTGGTGGGCGTTTGGTGGGCCTTTGTTTTGTTTTTTTCGACTCGAGTCAATGTAACGCGGGGTGTTAATTTACATGTATTTTGGAAATTCAAATGCTTGGAGGAGTTCTTAAATTTAGTATATCACAGAAATGTGTTTTTATTTTATTTTTTAGTGTAATACTCATAGAATATTCTGGTAGTGTTATGGGATACTATCATGACATATCAAAGATCAAATATAAAACCCGTTTTTAAGTGAGAAATTATAAAGACCATTGGATTTTATTTTTATTTTTTTGTTATCTGAGATATAAAGCGTTTAGTGGTGAGACCACAATAGTATTATCAAGCTCGATGTGTTTTCTCACTGTAAATTGAATCCATCCCTTAGGAGCATGCAATTAGTTTGAACAAAATGAAGCTGAATTGTATTAATAAGTAAAAAAAAAGAGAGAGAGATCCGATCACGCTTACATTTAAACAAATATATATATATAGACACGCACATGAGTCTCATGCTTGCATTTTGTTGCTGATTTATGAAATCCTTGTAGTTATTATGGATTTATAAATTAAATATAAAAAAATTAAAAAATATGAAGAAATATTATTATAATTCATAATATTTTCAAGAAAAAATAAATTATAAAACTAAATTTTTAATCAATTTAATATAAAAAAATAATAATAAAAAAAATAATTTAAAAAAATCATATATAAAAACATTGTAGCAATGTACAGTGTTTTGTGGGGAAATATACAATTATAATTCTTAACCAACTTAATATTAAAAAAATCAATAAAGATAATCTTTTAAAAATATTATAAAAAAACTAAAGAAAAAAAACTATACAGAAAAATACTCTAGCAATTTATAGTGTTTCATGAGAAAATCTATAATTTTGATTTTCAACTCACTCAATATTAAAAATAATAAAATCGATAAAAATATTTAAAAAAAATATATATAATATATGGGAAAACACTTTAACAATCAACGATATTTTAAAGAAAATAAAGAAACAAATGTGTTGAAAAAGCTAAAATTAAGTTGTTAACCAATCTAATATTAAAAAAATAATTCAAGAAAGATAATTTAAAAAACATATGGAGAAATATTGTATCAAAAAAAAATTATATAGAGAAATATTCTAGTAATCTATAATATTTTTTATAAAAAAATATAAAATTAAATTCTCAACCAATTTAATATGAAAAAAATACAAAAAGATCATTTAAAAAAATTTTAAAAAAATCAAATATACAAACATTATAATAATTCATAATATTTTTTTAAATAATAGAATTAAAATTTTAATTAGTTTAATATTAAAAAAATCAATAAAAATGATTTTTTTTTAAAATACAATTTTTTATTAAAAAATCAATAATAATAAAAAAAAGGATACACATGTAAAAAAAATATTAGTATAGTGAAGATGAAATGCATGGGAAAAGTCTAAAAGGGCGGGCGACTTTCCCCACGCCTTGAAGAGTGTTGTTTATATTATGATAGGGTCCAGCGACAAAGCACAGGAGTTAACAGTATACCTTCCCAAACATCTATTAGTAGAATATTCCTGTTGGTTTTCACATGACATGAATGATTTGGACAGTTACTTTTGTGACCATCTCCATTCGAGGACAAGCACACAGGACTTCTATTAGAGTTCCATGCTTCCTAACATCATTTAGGAAAAATAAAAGCGTACGTGTTATCTACAAATCGCATACAAATAATTAATTAACCAGTCATTAAGCCTCGGTTATGCTGTTCAATTTAAATAATTGCTGACATATATATTTGCTATTGTAATTATATTGTTATATACAATCTTATACGCCTTATATTATCGAAGTGTATTGTTTTGATACTGTATTGCAATATTTTATCTTTGATACATTGCAACATCTGTTAACTATAAACATCGTTTCTTTATCTTATTTCTATGTAGAATCTATTTAGTGAGAAAATATGATACTGAAATTTGGTGATTGTGTATGGATTCTTGTACGAAGACTATCATGTAAATCAAAATATTTTTTTTAAAAAGATACTCTATATATACACAAATAGATATAATTAATATGATTAATTTGACTGAACTGTTTATTCGACTAATTCATTGTTTACTAACTCATACGGTATTTTTTCAGATACAAACCCTTTTTGGTGATATAAAAAAATTTCCAAATTAAAGCTACAAGCCAGAACTAGTCACTCAGTTTTTTATGCATGTTCCAGAAGATTTGCGAGCATATTTTATTAATTATTTTCAAAAATATTCTTAAAATATTAAAACAAACAATCCTTGAGTCAGTGTAACAAGTAGAATCAAATTTCTGAAGTTCTGACTTTGGTTCAATGGCTGGAGATACGACACTTTGTGTGTGTGTTGTGGAGAGAGAGAGGGAGGGAGGACAGAGAGACGTGCGCGCGCGTTATTCATATTAAAATTATCTGATTTAATTTTAATAAAATTGTATTTTAATTAGCTCACGCGAAAAGCCTACCAAAGCCTAAACAGTGGCGGCGAGACATTCCTCGTTCGGGGGTCCACTTCTTCTTCCCCACCACTTCTTTTACAAGTTCATCAAGATTTCAAAACATCTAATAACAAATAGATTTTGTCAAATTTAAGTTTAATAAAGACTAGCTAGTTCTGATTCTATTATTTGCATTTTGCAAACTTTGAAGTGCGTTTATATGGCAATTTTGTGAAACCTTTTCTTTTGTCATTTCTGTGTTTAAAAATTCTCAAGCCACTCGTGTGACTGAGGTGCTGAAAATTGAAATTGTTAAAGCAAATTATTCATGCATAACTATGTTTTGATATAAACTATTTATTTTTATTTTTTAATGCTAATGCTTAAATGATATAAAAATATGGTGTAATATATATATATATATATATATATATTAACAAAATTAAAAAATTATTTTATAGTTTATTTTATAATGATATAGTTAAATACTGAAAAATAATTTTTTAATTTATTTTTATTACATTATTAAAAATCAAAAAATAATTCACTATATAATAATCTATTTTCTATGAAAATTGCTTTAAAAAACTATTTTATAACAAACAATAGTTAAAGTCGGCTTAGTTTGCATATAATAAAATTATTTATCATCTTATTCAATTTTAATAAAAAAAAATTTAAAGAATTGGTTTTTTTTTATCAATTTTATCTCATCTCTTTCTATAGAAAAAAATCCCTTTTTTCTATCATGTATCTATTTCAATTATATCTCATTTAATTTATATGGCCCTTCCATTGAAATAAAAATAAATATAAACGTCTCTCCCTGTCCATGTCATATTAAAATAAGCTAGTCAGTAGCTTCCCATTAAAATAAAATAAAAATAAATCCATGTCATATCAAATGGGAGATCATCAAGGATGACGATGCGCGTCTCTCCCTGTTCCCTTGTTTTTTCCCTTATAAATGGGTGAGAATTAAGATAGGAAAATGGGGCCCTCTATGTACATGTGAAGCCACGTGGCCGTCTAAAGACCCTTTTAACTAGTGACAGTTATCAAGGGGATTCAGATGGAGAGTTCTCATACTGTTAATTCATTTTGCCTTTTGCTGGACACTTGACTAGACTGTCGTTCCCCAAGTAATTTTTGTAGTTATAATTTTAAAAAATTAAATTTAAAAGTGTGAATAATTGGATTTAGACTAGTAAAAATTATAGTTAAAGTTTTTATGTAATAAAAAATATGTATAATTTTTTTTGTTATGGTTGTTTTTTAAAAGTGTTTTTTATTTTAAATATATTAAAATAATTTTTTTTATTTAAAAATTATTTTTGATATCTACGCATCAAAATAATCTAAAAATTAAAAAAATTAAAAAAAATTAAAAAAATAATAAAAATTTAAATTTTGAAAAACTACTTTTAAAATGTAAAAATAAGCAAAGTTTTATGAAATTCAATTAAAAAAACATGTAAAAACTACTTCATAAAAACTACATTTCAAAACTAATTTTTTAATAAGCCCTATAATATAAAACGTAATTTGATATATTATTAAACACATAACTGTGTTTCTTATATCGCAAATATAAAAGCTACAACTAAACAAATACACCGTAAATGGATAACAGTTTCAGTTGTACATGACATGAAATAAAATAAAAGAAATTTTTAATGTTTTAAATTATACGTGTTTTGAATGTTTTATTTTTTAAAGTGTTTTTTATTTTAAAATATATTAAAAAATAATTTTTTTATATCAACAAATTTAAATGATACAAAAATATAAAAATAAATTAATTTTAAGTAAATTAAATTTTAAATTTTGCCTAACTAGAATTTGAAACGCAATACTATACCCGGTGGTTTGAATCAAATGCTTGAGATACGATACTTGATCATTTCATTCTTTATTTGTGAGATGGGGTTACAATGGAGGCATACAAGGTTACAATGGAGGCATAGAGCATTACAAGGTTGAGTGATTGGAAACTTGAACCCTAGCTTACTGTGACTAGCCCACCACATAAGCAAATAATAATGTTTTGGTAGTCGTAGTACACGTAAACTGACCCAGACATCCACATTAATTTAAAAAATAATGTTTTGATAGTAATTGAGGTCTTAGTCCAGTGATAAGAGAGATTTGTTCCCTTTCTTTGCATCCAAGTTCGAATCTTATTGTGCATGTTTGTCATCCCCGTGATACCTTATATGCTCAATGGGCTTGCAGAATGTTTAGTGGACCATGAGATTAGTCGTGGTACATGCAAGTTGGCCTGAACACCCACATAAATAAAAAAATAAAAAAAATAATGTTTTGTGTAATTTAATGATTAGTAGAGATAACACTTATGTTAATTAAAAAAATAATAATAATATTTTGTGTT